CATTAAAATGAACTGAATGATTCAGTGAACGAATCTTTTTCATGAACCATTTTAATGAACTGATTCTAATGATTTAGTTCACGAAAATGAACGTTTGTCCCATCACTACAACGCAACAGTGGTGGTCAGCGCTAATTCAAAATTTGGTTGCACAACTTCTAAAGCAKTTGTCAATTTATTAAGGACCACAAGTTCAAAAGTGCATATGTTCAATAAAACTTACCAGAAGCTAAACATAAAGCACAAGTTTGTCTCTGTTTACCAGATAACATTTCAGAATAACTATGAAATATGTCAGCACTTTACTGCCAGCTAATGGAACAATTTCCTTTCCCATGTTGACACATCTTAACATGGTTTGGGGATGTGATTTGTCGAAAGACTTTTAAGTCATGGTTTTAAAAAAAAGTTGTGGWTTACTAGTTCTGCTGCTTCTTGGTCATTTTCTTGTGTTTATGGTAGGGCTTTGGTAAGAAAGCATGCAAATATATTAGTAATTTTAAACCGTTTGTTGTCAAACTGAAGTGATGCATTCTGGGTAGGCTACAGGATGAAAAAGAACCTGTTCTTTTCAAAATAAGATCATGAATTTAAACTGTTCCGTGTTTCTTTCTTTCTTCTTKTTATTATTTATTGAATATTTATTACTGCAGTGTCCCTCGGAGAGAAGGTACAAACTATACAGCTGAGCGTGGTTCTGCAGATCAGAACTGCAGGTAGACTGTCACCCACATAGCTATAATTGCTTCCTGCCATGCAAAGAATTGTGGGAACTCGCTACGAAATTAAAACCATCACACAGAAGGAGAGTCAGTGAGAGTATAAAGCTCTGTGAACATAATGTTCCTTGAGCGGGTCACTGTTTCCACACAGTGGAGCTCCATTGTGTCAACAAAAGACAGCTTTGCCCTCCGATGATGACAATGATGATGAAACTTTAATAATTTATATGGCTACAAAATGTATAGATGGCTCTCTATCTCTCCTTTAAACAAATTTGAAACATTATTTGCAATTAGTGCTACTTAATTCTAAATTTAGAAAGCACAAATCTGCACAGTATTTGAAGAAATTAGTAAAACCCCGAAAGTGCAAAGGAGAAATTTAGGTTCGCAATTAGCGCACTTGCACTTTACAATAACAAATTTAAAAATGTAAAACATTTTTAAAAATTTAAAAGGTGAAAGATAATACTTGTCCTGCCCCTTAGCTGTTGGTATTAAATAACTGAGCAATTTAGTTGGATAACACAGCATTAATGTCTCGAAATAACCTGCTTTAAAGCCAACAGTGACCATAAACTACATCATGCATGATGATTAGGTATGGGAATTACCTGTCGGAAAGTGGGACAGTTCAGAAATCAAGATGACAGCTACTCACCACAATTCATCAGTGTGTAAAACTTGCTTACTTTTAATAGTATTTCTGTATTATTTATTTTGCATTCATTTTGCATTGCATTATGGTGGCCATTTGAGGGCCACCATAATGCCCATGTGGCCGTCTGTGGCAATGAGTCTGACAACCCTGGTCTAAGGTCTAAAAACGATGAGTACGCAACGGGTTTTTTTACAATCAATCAGTGGTGAATGTGCAGACAGGGATTCATTTTTGAGTGTGTAATTGAAATCTGTTCAGTGGCTCATGTAATAGTTTTCTGATAGTACACACACACACACACACACACACACACACACAC